TTTTAAAAAACTCCAACTGGAGTCTTTTGGAACTCATCTTATTGGCTTGGAGTTTGCTTATTCAGAATGTTGTTTATACCTTCCCATATGTCAAAGAATACTAAATATTGTGTTGCAAAGTAATCTTTGACGGAGATTAACAAAGACATCCTTCAAGTACCTATAAAGTGGCGTTACAGTCAGACATGAACAACAAGATCATCATACACAGACAGTAGCCCTAAGTTTATGCAAATTCACATAGGTAAATGCTATGGTGGACTAAAATCTACTTCATTTTAGATAGACTTTCATATAGGGGTGGTAAGCAAATGCTTACTTTCCTACTGAGCATTTTATTGTTTTGCAAAAAAAAAAAAAAAGAGAAAAAAATGTATATTATGTGGGAAGGTCCACAAAAAAAGGTGTAGACCTTAGTCCCACCAAAGAAGCACTCTACCGGTGGAGAGAGAGAATGAACGAGTGCTACATGGCGAGAGAGAGAGAGAGAGAGAGAGAAGATTAAAGGAGAAAAAAAGAAGAGGGGAGAGAGAGGTTTAGAGTGGAGAAGAGAAAGCATACCTGTTTAGTGTGTGGATCACTGCATCCCTAACATCTTCATCTGCCAGTTCAGCTTCAATAAACCTTTTTCCATCCCCATTCAGGAGAGTTATTCACTGCATCCTCAGTTCCTCACCCCCATCCTTTTTTTTAATTTTTTAAATTACTTTTAAAATATATCATTTAATTTTTTACTTAAACTAAAAAAAAACTAAAATTAAACATCTTATTAATATTTTTAAATTAAAGAGCATAATTTTTTTAATATTAATTTTATAACATTTCATATACTTTTTTTTAACTTAAACTAAAAATCTTAAATTGAACATTTGATAGGGCGTAATAGAAAAAGGTGCGTTAAAAAAAATCAGACTTGATAGTGTTAAAAAAGTGCAATAGAAAAACTAGACTTATAAAAACTACTCGTCCTCTTGAATTTCATGATCGAAATTCCAAATATGCTCTATCAAATTGGCGCGGAGGTGGAGATGCGTATCCAGATTATGTAACGCCCACCTATTTGACTCTTGTTGTGTCGCATCAACCGGCTCAACATCATCATCAATGTCATTCGGGTCGTACTCGCATATTGCGCGACCTTCGTCTTCAAGTATCATGTTGTGCAATAAGATACAAGCATACATAATGTATCTCAACCTTTTGGGCGTGAATGCACGCGCCGGATTTTGCATAATGTGCCATCGTTGCCTTAGAACACCAAAAAGTCGTTCCACATCTTTTCTTGCCAATTCTTGGCATCTTGCAAATTTTTTCATTTTCTCATCTTTGGGATACGGTATACTTTTCACTATAGTTGCATAGTCAGGGTATATACTGTCGGCAAGATAATACCCGTACTTGTAATCCACCCCCGAAATCATAAACGAAGAGTCAGGTGCGATACCCTCTATGATGTCAGTGAAAATACCTGAGCGATCAAGAACGTTTAGTTGGTTATTCGATCCAGCAACACCACAAAACGCATGCCAAACCCAAAGATCTTGAGAGGCCACGGCTTCTAGCATTATTGTCGGATGTCCGTGATCACCACGCGTAAATTGACCCCGCCACTTATTAGGACAATTACGCCATGCCCAATGCATACAGTTGATACTGCCTAGCATTCCATGGAATCGGTGTCTTTTTTCATGAGCCGCATATAGTTTTTTGACGTCCCTCCGCGTTGGTCTACGCAAATACCTCTTGCTATATACCTTGATCATGCTCTTAGAAAATTTGTACAAACATTCTCGTGACGTTCTCTCGGACATCCTCAAGTACTTATCCCATGAATCACTAGAAGTGCCACATGCCAATTGTCGAAGTGCCGCTGTGCATTTCTGTAAGGTTGTAAAGCCCTTTTTCATTCTGGCATCCGACTGTAATGTAAAAAATGGGTTTGTTCTTGCCATATCATCGGCAATACGAAGAAATAACCGACGACTCATACGAAACTGATGCTTAAACTGTTCATCGTTGTAGACGGGGTGTTCCGCGAAGTAGTCGAAAACCAACTGTTCATGAGCAGCTACAAATTTATACAAAATAAAAAAAATTAACAATTGCATAAAATATGAATGAATAATTAAAAAAGATTTTAAATATAGATTAAAAGACACAATAACAAAAAAAAAAGTATACCCTGTCGATCTTGATTTAAAGGCGCATGTCTTCTTCTTGGTTCTGACGTCTGTGTGTTTTCTTCTTCTGCCAAAAGTATTAGTGCTGCCTCCGCCATCAGACTAAAAAAAATTTGTTCGGCTTCGTCGGAAGATGATGAAGAAGCCATGGCAACAAATAGAGGGTAGGAAGAAAAATTATAGCTAGTATGGAGAGAATTTAAATTTGACAGGGAAAATGAGTATGGAATGGCCGGATGGAGTAGATTTAGGTGTTGTGTAAATAGAGGGTAGAAAGAGAAAAATTAAAATCCGGACCTATCGGTCCAAAACTCCAAATAGCCGTTGAGAAGGCTGCCACGTGGCCCCTGATGCCCTTCCTGAGCTCCACCCCAAACGGCGGCCTAACACAATGCTAGAAAAATAGAAGTGTTTTAT